TTAAGGCACTTTTATGCCAGTCATCAGGACTAGTTGTTTCCATACCAGAAAACAGACCATGCTGGGAGAGAGAATTTTGCCTTGTCGCTGGGTCTTTCCTAACTGGGCAAATAAGTTACTAGTTTACCCAACTTTAAAAAAAAGTAGGCTCTTTTCTTGAAGGTCCTTATGTCGTATCTTTATATGAAGAGAGCCTTTATCCAAGCTGACAAGTCTTAGTCTCCAAAGCAAGAGTGAATGTGCTTTTGTTACGCAAACACAGTGTAATATACCATGCAGGGTTTTCAACACCACTTAAAAGTGCGATTTTAGTCAAGCACTGGATTATAATAAGAAGAAAGGTCGAGTACACAAAAAATAAAATAAAGTGTTATTGTATTGTTTTCAATATTTCATTGATCGTGTACTCGTATGTATGTACTTCAATACACATCATGTTGTAGCAATAGGGATAGATCGCTCGACTTTGATTATAAATCATATTGCGGTCCGCTATTTTGATTTAAACTCCAAGTCATGTTGTTCGTCGGTTTAAAATTGATATTTTTTAAAATCGAGTTTGCAAATTGGATTTTTGTTATAATAACGAGTTAGGTAACATTAAAATAACAAAAATCCAATCTGTAAACTTATATTTTTTTCTTTTTTCCCTATGGGCTTCTCAAGCTAGAGACACAAAAAGGTTGTAAGTCAAGATATCATATATTTTACGAGTATTATAAATTTTTGGCGATAAGTAAAAAATCATTTAAGTTTTTTTCTATATCCTACCTTAAACGTTACAACATTTAGCAAAGCCTACAGAAATTATGTACTACAAATTATATGCATCTGGTGTTCGAGTATCGTGTTGCAAATTTTACTCAAATGTATTATGTAAAGGTAATAAATTCTACTTTTTGTTCTAAAAACCCTAGACGTAACATTATGTGAATGTGAATGGAAATTTATGTTGCATTTAATTAATTCTTCTTTGTCGGTTAGGACCCTTTCTACTACCTTTTATTTCAGTTTGGGTGGATTCTCGGCACTCAGTCAGGCGGAGAAGTACGTGGTATGCCTACGACCTTCCATGTAGTAGGTATGTTTTATACAATCTTTATTTGATATATTTTTTTGAATTTGGCTATAGATAAGTTTCCTATATTTTCCGGGATGTAGCATATTCATATACATATTGCTCCATGATCAACTACTGGCTTTAGATACGAGAACATGTAATATTTACTTTAAGTTTTTATGTACATACATTCAGTTTTCGTAAATTTATTGAAAGACCAAACTATCTCCCTATCTCCTACTATCTCCCAATTTTTTTCTACGAGTTTAGATTTTAAATCGTAGATTGTTTTTATGGCCCTCGTCTGCAAAACAAAAGATTTGAATTAAGTCTCCTGTTACGCTGCCGTTATCAGTATTACTTAGTATTCAAATAATGAAAGACGTTAACTTATTTATCATGATTTGTTTCGCTGTACATAAATGGTTCATCTTTACAATCAAAAAACACTATCTCCAAAAGATTTTAAAGGACTTACAAATTTCGCAATGAAAATAAATAACAATGATAAAATACTAACATAGGGGAGCACAACAGAGGCATGGAAGGAAAAGGAATAAATGAGTATCTTATATTAGACTCAGTTATCAACACAAACATGAGCATGCGAATATATTTTAGTATATCTGTAAACTGACTCCACGATACAGGAGAAGATCCTAGTGTAGGGGTAACGTTTTTTTTAAGAAAAGAAGACGCATTGCGAATATACTGCACTAAAAGTATGGGGAATGGAATATTTCCACTGTTCCTGTCAAATTAAAATATTTTAAATTGAAAACTCCTTGGTTTTAAAAATCGAATACCATTTATTTATTTTAAAAAAGATTGTCTGTCTTATCACAAGGTTTTGTCAAACTTGTTTAATCGTTGAGAAAATGGAATTGACTCGAGAAAATTCAAGAGCGATGATTTATTATGACTTTCGAAGTGGTTTAACACAAAAACATTGTGTTGACCGGATGATTTCTACATTTGGTGATGAAGCCCCCATCCAAAACCACAATTTATCGCTGGTTTGCTGAATTTCAACGTGGACGTGTCAAGCTCAGTGATGATCCCCGTCAAGGTCGTCCAAAAACTGCAGTCACCCAAGAAAACGTTGATGCTGTGCGTAAGCATGCATCAAATGCACAAATGGTATGCTAGCATTTGTTTGCCACAGGTCGTTTCTGAACTCCGTAAAGAGAACTGCAACCGCCGCATCATACTCCATCACGACAATGCGAGTTCTCACACCGCACACATAACAAAAGAGTTTTTAGAGCAAGAAAACAGAATTATTAGAGCATCTGCCGTACAGCCCCGATCTAAGCCCTAATGATTTCTATACTTTCCCTAAAATAAAGAATAAATTGCATGGACAGCGATTTTTATCACCTGAAGAAGCTGTGGACGCCTACAAAATGGCCATTTTGGAGACCCCAACTTCCGAATGGAATGGTTGCTTCAATGATTGGTTCCATCGTATGGAAAAATATGTCAAATTTCGCGGAGAATACTTCGAAAAGCAATAAATACATTTTTAAATAGTAATGTTGTGTCACTTCCTTGATTCCCGAAATTTTCAGTGCCGTATGTAACGGGTCGAGGCTTCGTGTAGTCAACTCGGCCGAAACATTTAGTTCACATTATTCGAGCAGAAACGGGAAATTACCGTATTGTTATTATCCCACATGTCATAATTACAGTCCATCACAAATTCACAATTTATCGGCTTGTGTGTGTGTGTGTGTGTGTGTGTGTGTGTGTGTATGTGTGTGTGTGTGTGTATGTGCGTGCGTGCGTGCATGCATGCGTGCGTGAATGCGAGCGTGAGTGCGTGCGTGCGTGCGAGCGTGCGTGCGTGCGAGCGTGCGTGCGTGCGTGCGAGCGTGCGTGCGTGCGTGCGAGCGTGCGTGCGTGCGTGCGGGCGTGCGTGCGTGCGTGCGCGCGTGCGTGCGTGCGTGAGTCCGTGCGTGCGTGCGTGCGTGCATGCTTGCGTGCGTGCGTGCGTGTGTGTGTGTGTGTGTGTGTGTGTGTACGCGTGCATTACCTATGCGTGCGTTCTACTTACAATTTAGTAGATTGCTGAATTCCACTTTCTTACGTTTTACTCTATACGGCATCGTTTTGTGTATTAATTTCGTATTCTGGTATGTACTACCTTTTTTATCTTACAAAGCTTAAATAGTCATTATGATTACAGGCTTTGATGCATTTCATATTAGTCCTAAAGTCGTAATGTAACGCACCCGTAGCCTTCTTTGCTTGAAGTTGGCTGCACTTGTCCATGGGCTACAGTAGACCGCTACTTAAACAAATGTTAGCCCGTTTGTCACTTAAGTATATAAAATGGTAATTTAAACTCTTCCATAATCCTGTCTAATGAACTGATTCAAAAGAAGATTGGTGGATTGAATAATTTATAAATGTGCTGATATATGAACCTACGTTGAAACCAACACAAAAGTAGATTTATTATTATTTTTTAATTTACCCGTAAATTATTCTAGAATATATTGTTGCTTTAGGATTTGAAAGGATGGTAAGAGAGATATCCCATATAATGAGGTCACGGGGAGAGTATCTAAGTATTTTTATAACACATTTAAATTTTTTATAAATAAATAAATTGTAGCATATATGGAACAAAATATGTATATTAAGTCATTTAAGCTTCATTGATAATGGCTTTTCCATAGATGTACAACTTTCGGATGAGTAATCAAAGGCAGCCAGTCAGTCAGTTTGGGCTTAATATAGTTTTATTAAAAAAATATAGTTTCATTAAAAATAGTGATATTCATTGCGTAAATACTAGGAAAAAACACAAGCTATTAGTACCAGTTAATCGACCCTACCGAGTCAGTAATTAATTCTTGGAGCGATGTATACACTTTTAAAAATCCCAAAAAATATACAAAACTAGACCTCTTAAAAGCTCAAAAACTTTATTAAACAAAGCTTAAATAAGAGAGTTATTATAGTATTAAGGAATTTATGGATGATAATAACCCCTTGGAAATGAGATCATCGCTATCAAACTATTTTTAATTTGTTTTGTGTTGTTAATTGTGTAACATTTTATATGATTGTATGCTGTTATCTAAAAAAAGTCCCGTAATTTTAGGTTAGGTAATTTCCGAACAAGTGATAAATTAAACATCATAGTGACTTTCAATAAGTATTATTTATAATCTATATTGAAAAAAGAAGTTCCTGTTTCTGTTTCTGATACCCTTGTACTCACTACGGTGCTTTTCATCACCATTCCATGGACTTTAGGTGCAATATTACTTAATTTGTACTTAACGGCACATGCGCGCTGTGCTGTGCTGCGCGGCACATTCTATAAATTACACAGCGTGTGAGCAACTCCAATTCAATCACCGGCGGTAATAATGTAGTAGTTTATTGCAATTTAAAGTAACGTTTTACCACTTGTCCGGCAGTAAAAGAAAATTTCAAAAACATCATGAGAAAACCAGGACGGCTGAGAAATAAAATGTTTCGAAGACACGTAAAGTCTGCCAACACGCTCTGCAGCAGCGCGGCGGGCTTATTGCCACATAACCTAAGAAATAAGAGGAGGCCTGTGACCGTCACTGGAACGTAATTAGTCTGTAACATTACTTTTATACTTCGATGGATTTTCCTCATTGAAAATTGTCACTTTGAGAAAAATATTGACACATTCTCCGTCACACCCCATAAAATACACAGCATAATAGAAATTTACTTTATCAATATTATTTTACGGATGATATCAATTTTATTTATATTTAATTTTAATTCTTTATGAAGTTCGATGTCAATTTTAGTTACCGAAATAGAAATAATAATATTAGAAAACAAATATTTCTATAATAAAATAAATATGTAAATTATATTATTTATTTTATTTTGCTTGAAAAATCACTTTTAATTAATATTGTAAATTAAAAAACCTGTTACTTACTCGGGTCAAAGTTATATGTAAAATTGAACTGTCCACAACAAAACTGAATTTGATATATAGCACTTAGCGAAAGGAGCAAGAAACGTATGCAATTCAGTAACATCTTGATAGAACTAAATGTTTCGGAAAAGGACTGGTTGTTCGCACAACTTTTATAATACCTAATTCATGCTTTATTTTTTTAAGAAACATTGGCATTGATAGACTTAATTTTGTCATTATGACTAGGCTTTTAAAAATGTGTTTTGAGTTCATCTTTTTTAAAATTAATGAGTTGTTGCGTGTGAGCAAATTATTACTTAAAGGTTTATGAATGTATTATTACATAGATACAACATAACTGTAAGACGACTAGACCTATTGTTACACTTTTTTCCCGCATTAGCTATAATTACGAGAAGATGTGCTATAATTGTAGATACGGTTTTGTTTTAGAAAAAAATTTATCGCAATTTCTTACAAAAACGATACGAAGAAAAAACGAGAGCTATGTTAGCTAAGAGATTAAGCGCTCGCTGTAAATTTACACAGTACGCGAGCAACCCGGATTCGTTCCTCGCTGGCACCAATGAAGTTATTAATTGCATTTTATGTGCTGTGTGTCTAAGAAATATTTCAAGGACATGTGAAGTCCGCTAACACGCATCGGTGTAGTTCGGCGGACTAATTGTTTCATAACACTTTAAAATAAAAAAAGACCTTTGCCTATGGGATGTGTAAACACTGTAAAGTTCACGGCTTTGTCGCGCTGTGACTTAGCAATGCTTGCAGCGCTTAAGGCCGCGTGTTCGAAACCCCAACGGAACAGTGGCCTACAAATAATTGTTCCCGGGCTGGATGTTTGTCCTTGTGAAATTTATATATGCAAACTGCCCTCACGATACAGGAGAAATCCTAGTATTGAGTAATAAAATTGAGCGGAACCAAGGTCCCAAAGTTTGCTATAGATTTTCGCACTTTATCTTGTACCTGTGAAGTTTTGATGCAACATCGATTGTTTATGTTTATAGATCATAGATTTTTTTACTTCAAATTATTTAACTACGAAACTAAATGGTAAAGAATGAGATGGTAAAAATTTTTAAGTTAAAATTAATAGATCTTCGATATAATAGCAAGGCGCTGAACTTAAAGTTTAATTGAATTGAATTACTTGTCCATAGACCATCATTATAGATCTGGAGGTTTTATTTTAATCTTAAGTTTTACGTGGGCGAAGTCGCGTATAAAAGCTAAAGTTACAGTCTATAAGCGTTCCACTACTGGACACAGAGTCGCCTCATTTCTGAGAGGGTTTTAGGACAAGGAAATGTCCGCCGCGCTGCACCAATGCGTGTTGGCGAACTTCACATGTCTTTGAAATATTTTTTCTTATTTCTCAGTCATGAAGGTTTCCTCACGACGTTTTCGTTAATTGCCGAGCACATGGTAAATCAGCACTTGAAATTGCAATTAACAATTTCATTGCTACCGGCGGAGTTCGAACCCGGGTTATTCGTGTACTGTGAAATTTACAGCGAATGCTTAGCCCTAGCTGGCATAGCGGATAAAAGCTAGTTTGATATAAATCTTTCTTACTACGAGAAGGTCTTAAAGTAGTGGACGGTTAACAAGCATAAGATAAATTAAAAATACTTAATACAGCTTTACATTAGACATTTGCGAAATCATAAAATGCGCATGACGCAAAACAATAATTAAATTGAAGGAGGCGTTGGCATGTCCTGATGAACGATATCAACGTAAAAGGATTTGGGAGTATCTTGTCACTCGAGCCGAAAAGTGGTTAGCGTACAATACTTACAAAGGAAAGAGGCAATGACCTAAGCAAAGAATAAATCCCAAAAAAGGACCACTGATGATGCTTACTTGACGTGTTTGAGTTATTTATCACCGGATACAGGTCCCTGGCCTTTTATGGTTCGTACTCATATAATTTTAACTGAACATCCACGCTGATCGTGAAGCTAAATGTGGAGTATCTGTAGTAATAAAATATTTAATGAAATGGAGGATCCCTATTTTAAGTAATTATTGTAAGAGGCGACAGAGCGAAATGATGGGCAGCAGCATCGTCCTGATAACAGCTTATAATATTAAAATGGTGGGGTTGCCAACCCGTCTGCCAACTACCAAGCGTAGACACTTATTCCCTTATTTGGCAACCCATAGGGAGGCCTATGTTGAGCAGTGATCTTCTGTAATGAATGAAAAAATATCATTGACATTTAAACTCTTTTGAAATGTATTGTGTATTTATAAATTAAAACACAAGAACATAAAACTAAGAAATTTAAGTATTCTACTTTGTGTAAACAAGGCTTTGATATGGACCAGACGAAAAAATGTGTGTCAAAGACGCAGGAAGCAGTTAGGTTAAGTTACGAAAATTGAAATAACTTATAGCACTTTGCATTAATTTAAAGTTTATTTTCTGTTATATTCAAAAGTGAATGGTTGAATCGTTCATACGATTTATCGCGTTTCACAAGAACCAATTTTTCGGTAGCGCAATTTCAAAATAAATGTTAACTAATCTATATTTAAAAACTTGGCGTTTTTTTACCGATTAATAGTTTTACAGTGCACGGATCGCATAACAAAACCATTTAATAATCAACCGCAACCATGCACACACGCAACATATGTTGAAGTTTTTTATATAAAACTGAAGTGACATACGAACTTATAATCCATCTGATATAGAATATAATGATTTTTGTTCAATTTAAATTATTACATAACACATAATGAAAGTTTTTATCATTCACCGCTGGTTCGGGAAACACCTTTGTCCTGGAAAGAAGCAGCAAGAATCCCAGCGGGATTGATGTTAAGTTGCAGTAGCCACATCCATGGATACTTCAAACAAAGATGGTTGTAGATGCATTGTCACTTTTGAGGACTAAACATGTAATGCCTCACAGCCTAGTTGGCCTACCTAGATAGCCTCCTAGTCAGAAACGTAGTCCCACCATTTAGTAAAATGTATAAAACTTTTTACAAAAACGTTTTTAACAAACAGTTATTAAACAAAAACGGATCATAATGAGGAACGAAACGTTTCTTGAATACGTGAACCAGGCATTAATAAAGATGTTGCATGTATTAATTACTACAATCTCAAGCTTCGTTTAAGCGAATCGATCAGCGATTCAGTGATCATTGTACAAATATCTTTATAAATGTTTTAAGTAATAGAATTTGATGATTTGATGTTGGCCGCCTCCACATTATGTTTAATATATTTTTGATAACATTTGGATTTGGGTTTAAATAAAATAAATGATCTTTATGATCCGAAAAAGATAGTGTTAATATTTTTATAGATTAATTGAGTTCTTTTTTCTGCCGACTTCCAAAAAGGAGACGGTACTCAATTCGACTGTATGTTTTTTTTTATGTGTGTTACTTCATAACTTTTTACTGGGTGAACCGATTTGGATGATTCTTTTTTTATTTGAAAGCTGGTACTTCTCGTGTGGTCATATGAATTTGATCATAGTCAGACCAATAGTTTTTGAGTTATTCTTAATAACTCATAATGAAGTCGGCTGTACAAAATTTTTAATTTTAAATTATATCGTGACATGTATGGTAAAAGTATATTTTTTTGTTTTGTCATCCTCACCATAATTTCAAAAGCTAAGTTACTGTCAAAATAATATAAAGCATAATAAGTGCTTAGCTTAGAGTAAGTGAAATAATATAAAGCATTCTCTCCGTTTTACCGTCTCTTTCAATTCTCAATACGATTAAGTGTTTACGTTTGCTTTATTTGTCGAATATATTTTCTTTTCCTCCGTTTCATTAAATTATAGTGTCGTCTCAGATTTCCTCACGTTTTAATTTTTTTTTTCGCTTTGAAGATGGTTTCTTTGCCTAATTCAAGTGTATGTGACTTTTCAGTTTTTTTTATAATGCCTAAATCCAAACTTTTAAACCAGAAAAATATTATTATTAGCATGTGAACGACATATATCCTCTATTATGTTTTGACTTATGAGAGGCTTCTTTCCACCATCGATGTTAGTTTGACGGCTCAGTGGCGCAGTGGTTTAGCAATGAGTTGCTGAGCTGGGGGTCGCGGGTTCGAATCCTGCACGGAACATGTATTTGTATTGCCTACAAATAATTGTTCCGGGTCTGGATGTTTGTCCTTGTGCAATTTGTGTTTGTAAACTATAGACTAACAAGATACAGGAGAAAATCCTAGTGTGGGGGTAACTTTTTTTTTTTAGAAAGGAAATAGAAAAAAATATTAGTTACACCCACTGAATAGAATAGAATAGAATAGAATGATTTTTATTCAATATGGATTATTACATAATACTTATTGAAAGTCATTATTTTATTTACCACTGGTTCGGAAAATACCTCTGTCCTGGGAAGAACCAGCAAGAAACCCAGCGGGACTTTTTTTTAAACATAATTTCACTTAACAATAATTTTGTTTATACAATTTTAAATTAATTTTCATAGAACCAGCATGGTGGCGATCACCTTATACCCAGGGGTTATTTTCATTCATGTATTCCTTGATATTATAATAACCCTTTTTGTACAGTTTTTCTTTAATAAAACTTTTAAACTTGTTTATTGACAAACTTTGAACATGTTCTGCGATTCTGTTGTAAAAGCGTATACATTGCCCCATAAATGAATTACTAATTCTGTGGAGTCTAGTAAGTGGCATTACAAGCTTATGTTTGTTCCTAGTGTTTAAGTTATGAACATCCTTATTCTTATTACAGCTATTTATGTTTTTATGTACATATATTACATTTTCATAAATATATTGCGATGCCAGAGTTAATATGTTTATATCTTTAAATTTTTCTCTAAGGGACTCTTTACAATTTAGATTATAAATCGCCCGTACGGCTCTCTTTTGCAAAACAAATATAGCTTCAATATCAGTCGCATTACCCCGTAGCAAAATTCCATAAGACATTACGCTATGAAAGTAACTAAAATACACTAACCTAGCTGTCTCAACATCTGTGAGACTTCTAATCTTTCTTACAGCATATGCTGCAGAACTAAGTCTGCTTGCTAATTTAGATATATGGGGGCCCCATTGAAGTTTCGCGTCAATAGTAA